GGCCCTGCTGCTGGCGCTGGGAGGGCTGCTTCCCGTTGGTCCTTATTATTGCCTCGTGATGCAGGGAGCGACGCGTCCCCGTCAGCTGCTCCAGGCCTGGTACTCCACGGCCGAGCCCAGCAGCTGCAGCAGCTCGGGCTCGTAGTGCACCAGCTCCACTGTCTCTGCAGTGCCTGGCGCTGGCTCGGGGCTCTCCTGCACCTCCTCCTGCACCAGCACCTGGCTGAGGGACACCTGGCGCTGGAACTCGGCCTTGGGCAGCGCCGCGATCTCCAGGTGCGGGAAGCGGGCCTGGAATATGCGGGAGGACAACTTCAGGCGCTTGAGCACGTCGGAGAAGAGGAACCAGTTGCAGGGCCTGTGAGGACAGCAAGAGGAGGGCAGGTCAGGGGTGGAGGGGTCCATGGGGACACTGCCCACCTCACCACCACTGGCTGTCCCCTTGGCACAGTGAGGCCCAGGCAGGGTTTTCCTCATGGTCCCTCCCCACGGGGGTCTGGACAGACCACACGGGCAGGACCTCAGCTCAGGCACACCTGGATTTGGTGGCTGCTTTGCAGGTCACCTCAAAGCACTCAAAGCAGGCCAGGGACAGTGGTGTGACAGTCACACCTTCACCAGTGTCCCAGCTGCCAGTGCTCTGCAGGAACATGAGGAGCTGGACTTTGAGAGCTGCACCTCTCCAGACCCTGGCTGTGGCCCTGCAAGGCCCTGCTTCCAACCCAGCATCTCTGATCCTGGTGAGAAGGAAAATCACCACCCGAGATGCACCAGCTGCTCCCAGCCTCAAGGAGCTGCAGGGACTGATGTGCTGCCCCTGTGAACGGGACCACAGAAAGCAGCCACCAGCAGCTGACACAAACCAACCATCTTGGCTTTACCTTCTCCGTTCTGTCTTAAAGCAAAGTCTTTTCTTAAACCTCTCTTTTCCTACACCAAAGGGGTCCTTCCTTGCTTAGCTCCTCAGACTTCTCTCCAGGCCAAGGAGACCAAAAAAAGTATGCAGTGCTTCACCATGAGACTGTGTATAACAGGGAGTGTGCCACCAGAGGCAAGTTAACTGCCTCAGCAGCAGCAATTAAATGGTTGGACTTGCTGATCCTAAAGGTCTTTTCCAACCAAAATTATTCTATGATTCTAACTTGCTCCTCCCAGGGAGGATGCAATGGTTCCATTCCACCCTGTCTCAACTTGCAGAACAAGGATAGAGGTGTCTCCTCCTTGGCTTCAAGATCTACAGGACACAAGCACCACTTGTGCCCCATCTACTCAGCACGTAGGCAGCTTCTCCACGCTTCTCAGGTAGGCATGAACTTCCCATGTATAGACACCTGATGTTACCCCTCCCCTGGAGGACAGCCCCAGGCTCTCCTGAACTGCTGCTGTCCTCAGGAACTCAAGGGCTGTTCCGTGAGCTCCTCCTCCAGCCCAGCCCCACTGCCACCCAAACCCTCTCTGCTCCAGGAGCAGACACTCACCCCCGAGACACCGACACTTGGAGGTTGTAGCTGGGCAGCAGGGGCTTGTCGGAGAACTCAAACATGAAGTTGTCTGCTTCTTGCTCCTCTTCCTCCTGGTCTGAACTTCCTGGAGGGTTGAGCAGAAGATCACACCCGATGGTGTCCTTCCCCTCTGCAACAAGAGGAACAGCCGTTGGCTTTGTCCTGCTTCCCACCAGCCAGTGCTCACACCCCCGGGCAGAGCTGAGCCACCAGCCCAGGCCACCACACCGCTCAGGACATCACAGCCACTGCGAGAGACATGTCCAGGGGCTGGTCCTGCTCCCCCCGCCCCTCAGCTTGGAGGAACAGAGCGAGGCTCCACCGGCGGGGCCGGGACAGGCAGAAGGAACATCCTGTGCCACAGGAGGCCCTGCCCGTGTGCAGCACCAGCCACACCTGGCAGTGGGACCCCATGCTCCCCAGACACAGCCCCAGCCCCCCAGCACAGCTCTGCTCAGCCCCCAGGGAGTGAGGGAGGCACCATGTGGCCCAGATGCTTTGTCTGCAGGGATCCCGGGAAGGATCCTGGGCCCGGAGCCGTGGCAGCTGCCAGCAGGTCACCTAGAGGCTGTGCCAGAGCTGTGTCCAAATAGGGAGTGCGGGGCTGCACTGACACAGCCAAACAAAAACCAGCCTGATCTCAGAGGCCCTGCACATTCTGGCTTGAAGCTGGCTGCTCCAGCAGGTATCTGAGCTCCAGCCCAACCTGCTTCCACAGGAGAAGAGCCCACTTGATCCATAAACCATTTCAAGACAGTTACATTTACTGTTCACCAATCTTAACAGCATCTGCTGAAAACCAGCTTCCTGCCTGGACTTCATCATCAGGAGGTGTCAATAGCCCTGGGTTTTCAGGGCGTTTTTGTCCTGCTGAAATAACACAGGGTAACTAAAAAAAAAGCCCAGAAAATAGAGTCTAGATCCTACAGAGAGAAGTCAGACCAAATGTGCTGGTGAGCAAATAAGCCAATCATGCAAAAGTTCAACACCAGGCATGAGAGAAAAGGCTGCAGAGAAATCTCATGTTGTGCTGCATGAGACAGCCCCGGGCACCATCCTGCTGCAGACACAGCACCCAGCAAGGACGTCACTTCCATGGAGAGGCAACAGCAGAGGACAAAGACATGGGCTCACATAGGGACTGGGGAAAAACACTAAGTCATTCCTCAGTCCTGCCAAGGGAAAAAAGTCCCTAAGAAACAGAAAAACAGGGTGCTTAAACCTTCAAATCTTACTGTAGAGCAGGACAGCACCAAGGAAGGAACCAAGCACCAAGTGACAGGAACACTGGTCTGATGTCACTGGGGGGCAAAGCTCAGGCACCACCAACAGAAAAGCTGGAATTCCTTGAGCAACCCAGGGAAAAATAATGGGATGTGGCAACAATATGGTCCAGTGTCTACCCTGGAAAGTCTTCTCCCCCAGGCCTGTTCCTGAGCCCCAGTGAAGGCTTTGGCAGCCACGGGGACACCCTGTACCCCTGCCGAGCAGCAGGGAGGCAATCAAGAACAACAATGCAAGTCCCAGGTGTGGAACAGAGTCCCTGGGACTTTGCCTGGGAGCAGAGGAGTGCCAAGTGCAGGACACTGATGACTTTACCACACTCAGACCTCAGAGGTCCCACACCCTGGTGTCCCTCATTATCTTCTGGCCCTCAGAGATTTGCAGACCTGAAGGAAAACATGGACAATATTCCTGCCTCGAAGAACAGAAACAGATTGAGCAGGGGCCTGGGATTTCTCCTCCACCCTGAGGGACCTGCAATGTTTTGGGCCACAGCTGGTGGACATAATGGAAAGGGAAATGTTGAAGGACTGAACCACTGACAGAGGAGAACTTCTCTGCTCTGCTGCTGTAAACAAAATGGCAGAGGCTGAACTCACCTAGGACAGAGCTGCTGTAGAAGTCCCACGCCATGCGAGGGTCTCCATCAGAGCGCCCCTGGAGGTCCGAGAGGTAATCTAAGGAGAAGAAATGGAGAGGGTTAATGCTTATCTGCTGGTCAAAGCATGACCCTGGCATGCACAGCCATCGATCCTGGGTGAGCTGCTTCACATCTGCTGCTCTGCCCCACTTGGCAGTCAGGCATTGTGGCAGGAGGGGTACCCTCGCTTCGGAGAGGACAACATGACTGGGCCTGAGAACATGAAATGGGAGCTGAAAAGGGAAAACAATAAAGTGGCTTAGAAAGGAAGGCTCTTAGGGCTGTCTTGAACTCAAAATTACATCTCCAACACCTTCCTGTAGAGTTAAGCCTAGAGGAGCACAGACAGAGAGCTGGCAAACAAGAGTTTTTTAGCACTGAAGATTTTCTGCCTTGTCTCTGTCTGGAACCGCTGCTGCTTCAGCTGTCCCTTCCTTGCTGTTGTGCAGAACCCACAACACTCATCTTGCTCCCACACAAACAGAGCAGAAAGTGGGCAAGTGCCACTCTGGGCCACAAGGATGCAACGTGGTCCTTCCTAACAGCAGCAGGACTTGGGCAGAGTAGAAGGCATTTTGAAACCAGTCTGTAATTCTGTAATCAAAGACTGGGTGGTAAAAAACACACACGTGTGACAGGAAAGAGCTCCTGCTACAGCACTTCAAGACGCTCTGAGCCCCTGCTGTGGTCCTGTGTGCTGCTGGCCAGGAAGGATGGAAGCATTCCCACCCCAGGCTGGGCACCTACCGCAGAGGAAGCGCTTCATCACGTCGCTGGTGGCCAGCTTGATGGCTGTCTGCCCAGAGTAGGTGGCCAGGGTGGGATCAGCACCATAGGAGAGTAAAAGCCACATGGTTTCCAGGTTGTCATTTGCTACTGCATCATGGACAGGCCTGCAAGGACAGAAGCATTGGCAGAAAGTGAAGAGACCAGAAGAGTTCACAGAGAAAATGCTCTGCTGTGGGTTCAGACTGATGTAGCGGTGACTGACAGCTCATCTAGAAGCACAAGCCCCATCCCCTGTCCCCCCATTCCCTGTCCCCCAGCTCCCTGACCCCCCGTGGTCCCTGCCCGCCGTGCCTGGTGCCATCCTGGGCGCTGCAGTTGACGTTGGCTCCGTGCTCCAGCAGGATGTGCAGGATGTCGACCCAGCCCCGCGCGCAGGCCTCCGGCAGCGCCC